ACACAGTTATGCAAACACAACTGCTTCACGGTTGAAACACGAATGGAACAGCGGTACCCAAGCAACCACTTTTGTACAGTCTCCCTCTGCTTGCTTGGCCAACTCTGTTCTTCTTCAACGGAACATCGAATTAGTGCTCTCTACATGCTTGCACGTAGTTACTGGGTGTTCGTATAATGTATACATATACATCACATATAAGCAGATATTTATTTTTAAACAATACAAACCCACGCGTCCCTTTCACCCCCACTATACAGACGATCTAAATAATGTAATAAGGAATAATAAGGAAAAAATACTAACATTATTATTTACAACGAAGCGCACACTCACTCCATTGAGCAGTACGACCTGCCTGTTTTCTTACGGCTATTTCCTTTTACCGCTACAGGGTGTTGCTTTTGTACGTAAAAAAAATATTATTATAAAGAAGAAAGATTTAATCGTTTGTTTATAATGTTTTGTAACACAAAAACTACTTAATCGATTTTAATATTTTTAACTATATCATCATCATCATCACCATATCAGCCTTTAATTGTCCACTGCTGAACATAAGCCTTCCCTAGGAAGGTTTTCCAGTAGTTGCCATGCCTGGCCGACGGATTGGCAACCGCAGTTAGACTTTAGTGATGTTTTAAGAGGGACGCTGCTGCCCATCCCCCGGCCTCCCTTAGTCGTCTCTTACAACACCCACGAAAAAGTAAGTAGTGGCCGATTGTATGCCGGAACCACACGGCACCTATATAAACAAATATAATGAGCTATATATTTATGTTTAAAAATTCCATATACGCGTACGTATTCGGATCAGATTTCTAGTAATATCTAAAAATTTAAATAATTTACTCCATTTTATCTTTAAACAATTTTATTTAAAACGTAATTAAACCAAGCAGATTAAACATTAATAAAAGCAATCACCCTGTATAGTAGACAAATTGAAAGCAATGAAGTCGAAAGCGTAAGTTCTCAATCATTCAACTTAACGACAATCTAGAAGAGGGGTAGTGGTTACATGGATCAAGGAATAACTTTTCTAATGAATATGGCAATTTTATTTCATGGGGCATTTTATTTATAAATAAAAAGACATATTTTTTATGGACGCCTTCAGAAATTTCATTGGCTAATTGATCTGCAATATCAATTTAAACCCACATGGGTTTTTTTTTATTGAAAATAATGGAATGGTAACCTCGCCTGCGCTAACGGTATACGCTGACGGGGCACCAGTGAAGAATGAGGAGCCCATCTTGAGGAATACATTTTAAATTCAGCAGGATATTTCCGGGAGGGGGGGGGGGGGAGCACATGGAGGTCGACCTAACAGGTTATATTGCGGGGGGAAAGAGATTGTTAGTAATAGAATTTTAGACCCCATTGCTAGCAATATACTCTATCAGGTTGATCTCCACGTGGTTCCCCTTGGAAACCATCGTGTCTAATTCTTTTTGAATTCGTCAGTATGCTCTGACCTACTTCATCGTCACCTATCATCACTCACTGATACCCCGCCAGTATATACCGATAGCGCAGGCGAGGTTGTCATTCCATTATTACCCGTTAAAAAAAAATTACCCTCCACCCATTAAAGCACCCATGAAACCCCATACTAGCAATGGAACTGTTAGTCCACATTAATAACAATCAATCCCTCTTCTTTATCCTGTACTTTCACTGCCATATCACACTCTTCTAGCCGAAGCACAGCCATGCAAACTCAGCTGTTTCACGGCAGACATACGAATGGGACAGAGATACCCAAGCAGACGACTTTTGCACAAAGTCTCTATTTAGTAAATATTTAAATGAACGACTAAAAATAATTTATTGTTCCTCTCAAAGTAAGACAGTAATCTATACTTATAATAAATCTGTAGAGAGGTCAATTCTGTACATGAAATATATTTCCAAAATAACTATCAGGGGGTAATTAGTGGTCGATATTGATGCCAAAAATGCAATCAGTAAAATTTTTATCTATCTGTCTGTCTGTATGTTTGTTATATAGAAACAAAAACAACTCGACGGATTTTAAAGAAACTTGGTACTTCTTCATACTCCTGGACAGGTTATAGTATACTTTTCATCACGCTACGATCAAAAAGAGCAGAGCAGTAAAGGGAAATGTTAAAAATTTCCAACCGTGCGACCCCGGGACGGGCCGCTAGTATAAAATATAGAGCCAAACTAAATACAACAATATTTGACTAAAAATAGGTAACAATGCCACATCCATAACTTTTATTTTAACTCTTCGTTGTATATCCAGAAAGCTATAACAAGTTAATAGTGCAAGAATACGTCGATTGTCGACCCGTCGACTAATGGCCAGTCTTAAACAATTTACAAAGCTCTCTTTTTACAGAATCGTTTTTCCTCGATGTTGTTTTTATTTAAACACTATCCGCTCGCCAGAGGGAGACTTTGTGCAGGCCTACATGGGTACTTCTATCCCATTTGTGTTTCTACCGCCAAGCAGATGTACTTACAACACCTTTATTTGGTTTAGTGTGGGATACGATTGTAAAATTAAAAGATGCTAGTTTTTACCCGCGAAATAAAAAGTATTCTATGTCCGTTTTTCATTCCATTTACTTATTTATTTATTTATTATACTTTAATACACTTAGATAGTGTAAATGGTGGACTTAACACCATATGGTGTTACCTACCAATCGACCGTAGACAGGAATAACAGAAAATATAATTGACGGTGAAACGTAAAAAGCAGTTTTAAATTAAAACAGTAATTTATAAACATATTTTATACATGTTTTATGTAGTAATGTAATATTACTAAAATTAATACCTACATATTTAATAATCGCAAAAATTTAAAAAAAAAAAAATTATACAACTTAGAATGGCAAACAAACTAACAGCCCACCTGATGGAAAGTGGTCACCGTCGCCTACAGACGTGAACAGTACCATGGATATAACAGAGTATACTGTTTCGCCCATGATACCCACCATGCGTTACCATTCCTGAGGACTCAGGTGTTATTCCTCTGTACCTTGTAAATTCACGCCATATCCCACCCTTCAAATCAAAACACAGCCGTGCAAACACAACTGCTTTACGGTTGAAACACGAATGGGACAGATGTACCCAAGCAATCGACTTTTGTACAAAGTCTCCCTCTGGTATTCTATTCTAAAATGGCCACCTTTGGCTTTTATACAGACTTAATCTTTCTGACCACGAATCTATAGATTTACGCACTGTTTCGATCAAGTTCTCCATTAAATATAGAATAACAGATATTTAACATGTTCATTATTAGGCCAATATATATATATATATATATATATATATATATATATATATATATATATATGGATATTGATATCAATATCTATATATTTTAGATATTATATAGATATTACTCAACACCATAACTGTGACTTCTATAGCACTGCTCTTGTCTATAGGCGACATACTTTCCTAATGAGCAGTCAACTCGTATGTCATGCTAGGTATCATAAAAAAAAACGAACAATATTAACAAATACTACAGTATTAATTTATTAATGACTTCAAAGCAAAATCAACGTCAATAGCACTATAGGATCCTTTGTCACCATAACATTTGGTAATAATAAATTTGTATGGCTTTGTACGACGCTTGGACATGAGTTAACAGGTAACACGATAAGCTTTGACTGGTTTCAGGTATTTGTATTATTGTCACGGAATTAGACCCAAATATGCAGTTTGAAGGATAAGCAAACTGAAGTGGTAATGGACTGGTAAAATAGCTCGAAGAATCAATAACCGATGGGGAAAAAAAGTTCTTGAGTGGCGACACTGCACGGGCAACCGCAGTCTAGGACAACCACCCACTAGATGGAGAAACAACCTCAAATGCATTACAGGGACTCAGTGGATGCAGGTGGCTCAGGACCATTCCTTATGTTAGTCTATGTTAGTGGATGGATAACGGATGATATGGATATCATCATCATCATCATCATATCAGCCGTTAACTGACCATTGCTGAACATATGCGCATTGGCAACCGCAGTTAGGCTTTTAGTGATGTTTTAAGCGGGACTCTGGTAAACATCCCTCTACCACTAAGTTTCCTTAGTCACCTGTCATATAAAATACTCGATTGATTTTATTCGATTTTTTTTTACCGTAAAAGTAACCGTCGCCTATAGACATGAGCAGTACCATGGACATAACAGAGTATACTATTTCGCCCATGATACCCCCCATGCGTTTCCATTCTTGAGGACTCAGGTATTGTTCCTCTGTACTCTGTAAATTCACTGCCATATCTCACCCTTCAAACCGAAACATAACTGCTTCACGCTTGAAACACGAATAGGACAGAGGTACTCAAACAAACTCAGACTTTTGTACAAAGTCTCTCACTGGTAAAACGGATAATGGATGGATTTATACATAATGTCAAATGAACAAACCTTACAGGGACTGCATTTCTGATAATATTGATGTAAACGGCGTTGACAATCAGTGCTCAATGTGCCTGTATGTAACGCCTTGTTTACAAGGTTTCGTGTTTTGTTGCAGTGAAACGAATTTGAATACTAACTTGATCGGAATTGAAATATTACCAGAGCAACATGTTCACAAAAAAAATCCCCACCATCCGAAATAGCAACATTATACACTATTACAGATATTTGTTATTTATCTTAACCATTTGCGGGTTTAATTATAACGTTTTTAACTTAAGAGTGACAGTTAAGAATATTGTTAAAGTGTACACTCTGGCATTACTTATAGTTATTACTTACGCAACATTAACTTGTTGCGGTGAGCAGGAAATCTCACAAATATGGTCTCTGATCGAGTACACTACATCGACAATTATAATCGTGATACTAAAAAGCAATGTCCATTCATTTTTTCTGAAACTACGCACGCTCGATACTTGCTTACGAATCAATACGAGATATTATGTTAGAACAAGGACTCGATTATTGCTTATAACAGGTTTTATATGGGTCGTAAGGATAATGTATACGACATTCTATTGTGTATCTCATGTCTGTTACACTTCACTGATAGGATATTTGATCAATCAGTTCTCGCTGCTGGCTCTCGATTCGAATAGAGTGTGGCGATTTGCGATTTACGATGAAATCAGACATCGATTGAAAACGCTCCGTTTGAGGCTCGAAGAAGGGAACACGAGTTATTACTTGTACGTGGAGAATAAGAAGAGTGTAAAAGAGAATAAGATAAGGTTCTGTTTGCAATTGTATGGAAATATCGCGGATACAATAGACATAATGATACCAGAGTTGCATGCTTCGGTAAGTTCGGTATTCATGCTTTTTTTTTTTAATAATTATGATAACAATATTATCAAAAAATTTGATTATTTATTTGTAATGAAATGAAATGAATTTATTTTGCTAGAATGTAGGTAGTTTTAGACGAAAGAGGTTTACATTTCCCATATACATTCTGCCTCTATGTCGGTGTGCAAATTATTAACAATGTAAGGAATTTACATCTATTCTACACTATATTTCTTTTGATTAATCTCTTAAATCAATACATACATAATTTATTACAGTAAACAGAAAATAAAACTTAATAGAAAAGGTACCAATTATATCTTCAGTATAGGTAGTGGTAACCGTCGCCTATACACATGAGCAGTACCATAGACATAACAGAGTATACTGTTTCGCCCATGATACCCCCCATTCGTTGCCATTCCTGAGGACTCAGGTGTTATTCCTCTGTACCTAGTAAATTCACGCCATATCCCACCCTTCAAACCGAAACACAGCCATGCAAACACAACTGCTTCACGGTTGAAACACGAATGGATTGTAGATTTTGAGGTTGAAATAGATTGAATAAGACCAACATTATATTTATAAGACCAACATTAAATAAATTTAAAGTTGGTCTTATTCAATCTACGTTAGCTGAACTTAAACCAGAAATTTTTGAACATCTCTGTAAATTATTGATGCCCATTAATTCATCTCTTTCCGCGTCTAGGGAAAGTAGATAAAGCTTTGTTTGAGAAGTAAGTTCAGGGTACGATAGGGCTGATATACCTGAAGAAGGTAAGAGCCCTTAAAATAATATTAAAAAAAAATACAAATTTTTGTTTTTTTTGGTTTTATTTTCATTAATGTTATAAAAATACTGTAAATTCACTGCTCATATAATAGACCTCCATGGGGGGGGGGGGAGGTATCATGATCGAAACAGTATACTCTGTTATGTCCATGGTACTGTACATTTCCATCAGGTGGACCGTCAGCTTGTTTGCCATTCTAAGTTGCATAAAAATAAAAGAAAAATGGGGGTCCTATTGGGGGTCTCATGAGCGAAACAGTATACTCTGTTATGTCCATATTACTGCTCATGTCTATAGGCGACGGTTACCACTTTCCATCAGGTGGGCCGTCAGCTTGTTTGTCATTCTAAATTGCATAAAAAAAAAAGAAAAATCACTATATATTGTCTCATTGCAATTGCATTGTATAAATAATTAGCACACGCACTTTCACCATAACTAGATCTGATTCGATTGAGTTAAAATTTTAAACAAGTTAAAAATATATATTTATTAATGTGAACAACTAAAGCTGCATATATTGCATTTGCAGCTCTTCGTCAGCATATTCTGCGGCGTACCAAAACTAATCATCAACGTGTATCACGTGCTTTTGATCATTGAAAAAGATGTATGTATTATATTAATATATTATTGTATATAATTAGTCTATTACCCTAAGGTAGTCTTGAAAAGATTGCTCTCAGCAATAAGACCGCCTTACTGTACTTATATAATTGTATCGTTGTGTTTGTAAATTGTCTTGTTTATTTCCTACATTGTATAATGCAAATAAAGTATACTCATTCATTAATTTTAACATTCATTCATTCAAGGAAGAGGATATACCTTATATTACTAATATAATAAAATTGTGATTAGACCATATTTGTGCATGGGAGATATTTAAGAAAAATGTATGAGTCCTTGTCGCGTACAGTAAGAAGCGAATGATGGCAACACCGGATGTGCTCCAGGATTGGTCCGTCTCGTTACGAAAAGGGAACAAAAACTGGCTGTATGTGTCAACGGACGACTTTCAAAATTTCAAGTGGATCAACGCAACGGCTCTTATCTAAAATTGTATTTCTGTAACTATTCGCAATTAAAATCAATGAATTCAAGCTTGTTTATATGAAATTGACCCTTTAACAATCTGTTGAAGACATCAGCACGTACCAGTCCTAAAATCAATACAAGCAAAAATAACATTGTTTTAAGAAACGTCATCTGTCTCTCTGTATTTTTGTTCCTGTATCACACAAAAACTACTAAACCAGATTCAATGCGGTTTTCACAATTGTATTTCTAAAGGTCTAACTTCAAAATTGGTGTATGCTTTACCTTGATACGCCATTTAGGAGTAGTCTGTTTCATTGATTTTCATAAATTTGAAGTCCAGACGTAAAAAGGAGCGTGAAATTAAAAATAATTTCAAATATATACTTTCAGTTGCCCTACGAAACACTCGGGTTCATGCTGATACATATATTTCAAATATCTTTATTCATATTTTCACCGTGCGTGGTGGCTGAACTTTATTTCTACGAAGTGGAGAATATAAGGAGAATTTTGATACACAGATTGATTCGGGAAGAAGGTAAGTGTAAATGATGTTATTTCTCTGAATATTTCATTTCAGCCGTTAACTTTCCACTGCTGAACATAAGCCTTCCCTATAAGGGGATTTTTACAGTAGTTGCCACGCTTGGCAGGCGGGTTGGCAACCGCAGTTAGGCTTTGTAAGATGTTTTAAAAGGGACTCTGATGTCTATCCCTCGCCCTCCCTAAGTCGGCTCTTACTACACCTACAGGAAAGGAGGGGGTGGCCTATTCTATGCCGGGACCACACGGCCATACTATATAATGTTTTTACAAAAATGAAAGTTTGTAAATCTTTAACAAATTTTACAGATTTTGGATGTTTGTATGTTTGTTAGTCAGTCACGCTGAAACGGCTAAATGAATTTGATTAAAATACTACTCGGGTAAGCTATATCCTAACTTAATACATAGGATACTTCATTTGCCGACTCGCGCGAGAAAATCCGCAGGAAAAATCAACTAGGTAATTTTAACGTTTCAACCATGAAATATTTTCTAAATTTCAGGGCAGAACGTAACACAAATTCAATTTTAAAAGTACATGATATAAAGCATTTAAAAATGTTAAAATATCGTTTATTTGGACTTTTATGGTAGGATTTATGACGAATGAAATGTTAAACAGAGCTTCTGTTTACTGGGTCGATATTATGGGGTCTGAAAATTCGAAATTTTATTTCGTGACAAATCCCCTGGCGGAGAGGAAGAGATTGTTAGTAATGGGAGGTTAGTCCCCATTGCTGTCAATATCCCCTATCAGGTCGACCTCCACGTGATTCCCCTGGAAACCATCGTTAACAATTCTTATTGAACTCGTCACGCTGGGCTAACTGACCTGCCTTTTCATCCTCACCTATCATCCCTAACTGGTGCCCCATCAGTTTATACCGATAACGCAGGTGGGGTTACCATTCCAATATTATCCATAAAAAAAAACAGACTACGTAGTCTGACAATTGACCGACCGCAGAGCAAGTTTCAGTTGATATAACATAACAGTATACTCTGTTATGTCCATGGTACTGCTCATGTGTATAGGCGACGGTTAGCATTTTCCATCAGGTGGGCCATCAGCTTGTATGCCATTCTAAGTTGCATAAAAAAGCCTGGTATTGTAAACCTTTCCTCAATATAATATTACTTTTTTTGTACAACTTAGAATGGCAAACAAGCTGACGGCCTACCTGATGGAAAGTGGTAACCGTCGCCTATAGACATGAGCAGTACCATGGACATAACAGAGTATACTGTTTCACCCATGATAACCCCCATGCCTTGCCATTCATGAGGACTCAGGTGTTATTCCTCCGTACACAGTAAATTCACGCCATATCGCACCCATCAAACCGAAATACAGCCATGAAAAGACAACTGCTTTACGGTTGAAACACGAATGGGACAGAGGTACCCAAGCAATCGACTTTTGTACAAAGTCTCCCTCTGGTGATTATATTTTATTACTATTATATTATATGACTATTATATTTTATACTATATTACTATTACTATATATATTATATTACTATTTATTTTTTCAGATGAAAAAATTATCAACGACATACAACTCTTCCTCCATTACACCCGGATAAGGGACTTCCGATACAAGATCTGGCGGATGATCCCGGTCAACTTGTCGTTTCCACTTGAATTTATCAATTTGTGCACCACATACGTCATCGTTATTGTCAATTTTACCCATTTGTATGATTGAATGATGGTTTGTATTTAATACTAACACCGTGAAGCAGTTGTGTTTTTTTTTTTCTTAAATTGCTCCCCCTAATAGGAGGTGCGCCCTGACCGGATATTAAGTTCCAGTTTGGAATTATTTACCAACCTAAGCAGTTGTGTTTGCATGTCTGTGTTTCAGTTTGAAGGGTGGGATATGGCGTGAATTTACAGGGTACAGAGGAATAACACCCGAGTCCTCAGGAATGGTAATGGGGCGTATCATGAACGAAACAGTAGAAACTAGAAGAACTCTGTAGAACTCTGTTGTCCATGGTACTGCTCATGTTTATAAGCGACGGTTACGACTTTCCATCAAGTGGGCCGTCAGATTGTGTGCCATTCTAAGTTGTATAAAAAATACTAACTTTTCACACACTGCTTCGTACGCGTGGACTTTAGAAGTAGAAATATCTAAGAAATATTTTAGATGGAATATCAAGAAAACGCAGTGTGGTCCCAGCAATAGAGTGGGTCATCTCTTCCTTTCCCGTGGCTGTCGTAAGAGGCAACTATAGAATTTAACAGGCGAGGTATGGGCGGAAACTTCTAGCTGGCTTAACTGCGATTGCCAACCTGCCCGCCAAGCGTGGCAACTACTAACAAAATACTCTTATGGAGGAGGCATATACACTACTTCCCACTCGCTACTTCTTATGCCACTGTGTTAGGTTAACTGGAAGAAACCTCTAAGATAAGAGATAAATTCGCTTTTGTTATTGTTATTAACTTCTTTTTATTACTGTATGATTTAGTGCAATATATATATATATATATATATATATATATATATATATATATATATATATATATATATATATATATATATATATATATATGTTCACTTTAGCTGTAATAACTGCATGGCAACATTCTCGATAATTCATAAAAACAATTCTTGTATGTGGCAATTAATAATTTTCATTGGAGGTAGAAAGATAAAAAAAGGTTGTTAGTGTCTGCTCTTAAATACAGAAACAGAACAGTTTGCTCGTTGTTGCTCTTAAAAAATATTTAACAAAGAAAGATTTAATTTCACAATCGTGAGACTTTAATTTTAGAATTTAATATTTTTGTTTCATTAAATAATCTACGCAAAAGACAATCTCTCGTGTCGAGTGAGACATTTTCAAGATTGAAACGTCTATCGGAGGATTCAAGATCGAAACCCTTAGTCCTTATAACATTTACGAGGTAACCTCAGGTAACTTTAACATGCTTTAGGGAACTGAGTGATCTGAGTATGACATAAAAGGAATTTACGCTAATCAAAGGGTAAGTCACTTGAACTAAGTTTGAATCTAGATAGTTTAGTAGTACTTTTAAAACAACTTGTCGGTTTTCGCATTCTCGGACTTGTCGTACATACAGTCCACTTATATTCTCGCATATATATATATATATATATATATATATATATATATATATATATATATATATATATATATATATATATATATATATAAGAATTAATTAAAATATAAATAATAGATTTTAAGTCAGACTCAAAAACAGAACCGTATTCAATTTAGTTTAGTAATTTTTGCGAGATACCGGGACAAACGTACAGACATACAAACAAAAATTCTGTCTGTATTATTGGTAATATAATTGTATATATAGACGATATCATTATATCAGACTTTAAGTGTTCACTGCTGAATATAAGCCTCCCCCGAGGAGGAGGGGTGTTGCCAGTTGCCACGCTTGAAAATAAAAGATATACATGGGTTATATTAAGATAAAAATAATACGAAAGGCCTTAATAAAAACAGTTTAAAATAAAATTACAAATTCAATTCATTACTTCTCAAATAAAACGCTTACTCCTAAATTGTATAAACTTGAATCCACGATAAAAGTTTCCATAGAAATTTCATTGATGAATTGACAGCGTTTGAAGTGGGGAGTTGACGGATCGACTGCACATCGACGTAACGACCGGTGGTACGACCGGTTGTAAACCGGAGGAGTTCGGAATTTCTCAACTCATTGAATTAAAAAAAAAAACTCTTTGATATCTAAACCGCTTATTAGATTACGAGATTCTTAAACTTCCTGTTTAGTTCTTTATTTAAAAATTTACTTTTTTTAAACATCTACGGCTTTGGATGTTTCCTTTTAGCCTATTTATTGTAATAAGTCCCATATCCCATAGGGAGACTCCCTATGGGATTTTTTTTAATTACCTCAGCAAATATTTCTCCAATTCGCAGCAGACATATCACAAAGTCATTTTCTTACATTTATACAGTGTCACACCCTCACGATTGACGTAAAATATGATGGTTTCTTAAACAGTCATTAGTCAGTGTGTTTGTATAGACGACTGTGGGAGGGTGAGAGGCGACGGAGCGAGGACTCTTAATGTTGGGTATTATACAGCTAATGATTGTGTAGTGACTCATTAGATTTAAGTGAACATGCTGAGAAGCCTTGTTTCAAAAATTGTCAGACATACAGTATAAGATGGCTTCATCTATTTTGTCATCGTCATCATCACTACATAGTAAAAAACAAAATCGCTGTCTGTCCGTCCCTAATATAAAATCTTAAATCTTTAAAACTTCGCAACGGATTTATAAGCGGTTTTTTTAATAGATAGGCTTCAAGAGAAAGGTTTACATGTATAATACATGCATAATATTGTAGAGAAACATTGATAAATTTAGAGGTTTCTAATGTGATGTCGTAAATAAACACATTTTATTGCGCTTACATTGCAAACGCTGGCTGAACTTTACAAGATAAATCAAAATAATGTACTACAGTATTGTACACCTTAAAAAGGTCAACAAAAAAGTCCGCGATGTTATGTGTCTATCTCTTAAGGATAACACACAATAATCATTTTTTATCCTTTACATTTTACGGGAAAAATGACTTATTTACAAAGTGATTTTAAGCAATACAACATTAATTTTTATCCAATTAAGTACCTTAAATACGTTGTCCATTTAATATAGATCAATATGGCCCTTACAGCATGTAATTTAAATGTATATTTCCGAAAATATTACAGATTTAAAATGCAAAGAGATAGTGGCATTCTGTAGTAGGTAGGTATATTTAATATCAGCATTGCACCCGTGCGAAACCGGGGCGGGTCGCTAGTATTTAATGAAATACAAAACGCTTTCCAGTTATCGAAATATGCATTCTATTTTAAATATACAGCTCGTACGGTGTTTAAATATAAACTTAAAAATTGGCTATTAAGTAATGGTTTTTATACCATTAATGAATATTTTACTAAAAAAAAAAATGCAGTTGACAACCTATATTAGAGATGCAACTGGTACTTTTGCTGGTACTGGCTTTTTTTATACAACTCAGAATGGCAAACAAGCTGACAACCCACCTGATGGAAAGTGGTAACAGTCGCCTAAAAACTTGAGCAGTACCATGGACATAATAGAATATACTATTTCACCCATGAAATTCCCCATGCGTTGTCATTTCTGAGGACTCAGATGTTATTCCTCTATACCCTGCAAATTCACTGCCATGTCCCACTTTTCAAACCGAAACACAGCCATGGAAACAAAACTGCTTTATGGTTGAAACACAAATAGGACAGAGGTGCCCAAGCAAACGAGTTTTATACAAAGTCTCCTTCTGGTAAAACATAATTTTACTAATACTACTTACAAATAAAGATATCCCATCACAATAAGACAGTCACTTTATATTCATACAACATTGTTTACCCGGCGTCGCTTGAGTGGCGCACTCGATATGTTTCTTTCAAAAATATTACAACGCTCCACCGTCGAGAGCAGCCGAGTCAAACGTCGCCTGTATGCCAAATGTTATTGTGATTTTATCGTAAGAATTTTATATTAGTACCACTACTACGGTATTTTAATTTTACTATTTTTTTTTTTTTATTTATATAATTTTTTTAATACAATATATAATACAATAATAACAGGAAACTAACACAACGCATCTGTAAAATGCAAAGTGAGATGCTGTGATTCAAAGCATCGTACGCCTTCTGAGGCAGACTTCCGGATGAATGAATAAATAAATATATTTACTTTGCAAGAACAATTTACCAATTAATCAATAATACTACATACACGGTCAAATCATTCCTCCAATTTTACATCGAGTCTCGTTAACTGACACAAATCAACTTAGACTAAAGAGAAATAACACCAGCAATACTATCCGGAAGGGATTTTTAGTAATGGGGAGGTTAGTCAGATAATGGGTAGGTTACCAGAGGGAGACTTTGTACTCATTTTTTTAATTATTACATTATTGCTGTATATTTTTATACAATAATTCGAGTACTCTGACACTTCCTTTTGGTTGACTGGGAGAGAATGCTTTAAGCATTAAGTCTGCCATGTACACATATTTGTACTAATGAATAAATAAATAATGTGTAAAAAAAAAAATTTACAAATCATTTATCCAAATGTAAACCCGTAGTAATGGAGTTTTCAATACACAATCTCTTCGCGATCTCGTCAATATTTCAATAGTAAGAAAGTTCCTCGCTCGTATTAAGTGATTAGTCCCATTTGTGAATAACAGCTCTCGAATTGAATTGTTCATTTGGCCCCGTTGCATTTGAATAATTTGAATAATTTATAAGACACAGTTGTAACTTACCAGACATACCATCGCTTCGTGTAATGTTAGCGTTGTTTAATTAGATATAACCTATACGTCTCTATGTACTCAAACGCTATGGCATTTCTGTATGTAGATTGCATAATATAGTTGAACAGGGCCTCCGTGTGTTATTGTTAAGTATGTATGATTATAACATTAACCGGTTACTGTCTACTGTTAAACATTAACCTTCCTTATAAGTTGGGTAGAGGGAATATGCTAGTAGTTGCCACGGTTGGCAGGCGGATTGCCAACCACTATGGTTTTTAATGATGTTTTAAGAGCTATTCCTAGACCATTAACTTTGGTTATCTTAACCGAATTGTATTCGTCAATTAGCCTCTTTGTCGAAGT